TTCCCTGAGAGTGCTGGTTTTGAGAATGTCACCAATTAGAGAGTCACCCTTGTGGAACCCTCAGCTTTGTGAGTAATTTTTAAGTGCCAGTACTCACTGGATTTACTCATTAAACTATTCATGTAGGCCTTCCCTACCTTACCCCCAAAGAAGGGACCCAAGATGACCTTGATGGGCAGTGGGAACAAGTATGTGTTGAAAGGGAAGAAGGCATCACAGTTATTAAGTTTTATAACTGTTTTTGACTAATGAATATGCCAGTCTTGGTCACTGTCATGTCCCTTGATGAAGGAACATGGGTTTGGGTAGAGGTTTTTCTAAGAATTTCAGGCCTCGGGTTTTCACTGGGTAGAAAACCCTAATGACCTCCATCTTCCATATCTTTAAAATAATTCAACTAATTACAGGGATAAATAATAAGTTTTTGAAATAGCAATGTGCTGTATAAAGGCTACATACTTGAGTTTCTGACCACAAAGAAATATGGATTTTTATTTTATTTTATTTTATTTTTTTACCTTCCGTGAGTGAACTTCAGGTTCTGTGATGCCAGCTTCTGGATAAAACCCATGCTGATAAAGCAATAGAGGAGCCAGGGCCATCTATGAAACTAGAGATAAAAAGTGTCATCGAACGCACCTTCGAATAGTTCTGATATTTAGCAGTCTCCCTCACCCCGACCGTCAAAACTCCACACCTGACTTTCAACAAATTAACCACTGCCCGGAAAAGAAGTAACTTTACATAGGCAAGGAAAGAGAGGAGTTCTTTTTGGCACAGCCAGTTAAGAAGCACCCTCCAGCCCTAACTTGGTGCTGAGCCACCTCAGCTTCAATGTAAGGCTTCCAAGTTGGCCAGAAAACAATGCAGCTCAGAGCCAGGCGAAGTCTGGGTTGCCGGGCTACCTCCTGGCATCATAGCAGAGTGAAAGAGGTTGGTTTCCAAAGAGACGCTCAGTCATCTCCGAGGAAATTTGCTGGCCCTGTGAAAGGAAACAAACATTCAGTTGAAATTACGGCAAAAGTCTGAAGAAATGAAGTGGGAATGGGGTCTGGCCAGGCAGGAAGGGGAGCAAAACCAAGCCATAATGTTCTGCTCCAATACATGGATTCTGGAAATGGTGTACTAATTCCTTCAGTACCTCCTCTGTACTGAGCACTTTACAAAGATTATCACACTTGATTCTCACAACACCCCTGAGAGCAAGGAGTGGTTCTCATTTTCAAAGTGGAAACTGAGGCTCAAAGGCGAGAGTAAGAAAGAGCTGAGGCTCTTTTAGACTCAGCTACTAGAAATGTGTGGTGAATGAAACATGATGTGTGGTCTCAGTAACCTCTGCAAGGCAGATCAGCAACATGTACAAGGCAAAAAAATATATATATACATAAAAAGGCCAAAACTCTACGGAAGAGTAACTATTTAAAGAAATATTGACCTACATATTATTTGAATTGTTGACCTATGGCCCCAGGACCACTGCCAAATAAATGCCCACCCACAGTGAAGGTAGACTGGCAGACTAACATTCTCTGGCACCTACTTGGTATGTAGGTGTCTCCCCGCCCCCTCCACCTTTCCTAGATAGAGCTGGCTTTAAATTCCATTCAAATCCATGTTCTCGTACCTGATATAAAAGCGCATGAGCAGCACTCCCACAAGCTCTGGATTCCTGAAGTTTGTTTTTGACACTCCCATCTGGTCCATCCTGCCTGGAATGATAATGGTTTTCCAAAAAGGATAAAAAGACAAATCAAAACTTTGAAGTGAAAAGTCAAGATCGGTTTTGTTTGGTTTTGAAATCTGACATTCTAATAAAGTCCATGTGTCTGTAACAGTGGCACCCACAGTGAATAGAGGAACACAAATAAGGACTGGGAAAAGAAGCCACTGACTAGTTTTAACAAATGATTATAGACATAGGGTCTCTACCATGCGGTTACTAAGCAGTGCCCAGGGAGTGACCTTGATATTGTTGGAAGTTCCTATCTTAGAGATTCAGGGAAGGGATTTCAACACCATCTTAAATGGTGGTACAGCTGACAGGGGATAGGTGCTACCCTCCGCCCAGCATCTGTGGCCTCACAAAACATAAGGTTGCTCTTACTTGTCTGGCTGGTCTTGACTGTTGGTTCCGGGTACACTCTCTTCCCATCACAAGGCCACAGGCTGACCAGTACTAGACTTTTCCATCACAGGTCCTGAAGGAGATGATGACTGTAAAAATCTGCAAGAGACTTGCCTGGGGGTGGATGGACTAGCATAACTGCAGGAAAATTAGGTAACTTGGAAACTCATAAGATGAGGGTCTGGGGCAACCTTCCTTTTTCCCTTATCCAGAGGAATTTCTGAAAATGGTTGGGGGAGCCAGAGTACCCAATCATGCAGCCTGTGTGAGGTAGGCCAAAAGAGTGAATGATAAAACAGGAACTGCACGAATCAAACCACAAGATAAGACTGCTGTTCTAGAGGCTTGACTGTCCCTTCAAGAATGAACCATGGTTCGTCCTGCTTTAATCAAACATCATAGGAGAATTATTAAATATTATGTTGAGAGATATTGCCAGTTATTTGCTAGAAGGGGAGTCTCAGAACTCCAGTTTTTTCTCTTCAGCAATAAGGCAATCGACTCTTACGAAAAATTATGGGTAACAAACCTTTGGAATGGTTTACATGTTCTCACTTTGTTACCAATTACTGACATATACCATGCAAGATTATGGGTAACAAATCAATCAAATGGGTTTTGTGTTCTACTTGAGAGACCAAGAAATGCATATTAAACGACTGTGTCGTTATATTAGACTGAGTAACTGGTAACATAGTAAGTTCAAAAATTGCTAAAACTAGAAATGAGCTAATTTAACTCAGAACAATTTCATGAAGACTTTCATACATTAATTACACAATGTTACTACCATCTGACAATGAACATAGGTCTTTGAAGAGAAAACAACAGAAAAAATTAAACATTTGGTAGTATATGGATTGGGGAATTTGCTCTTAATTGGCAAGTATACCCCTAGGATACAATGGACAATGGACATGTAATAAAAATACCTTCATTCCACACTTAGATATTGCTCAAGGTCTAGGGCTCTGCCTGAAAAGTCAGGATTAGTGAGGCTAGT